TTGTAAATAAATACAGAGGAGTTGAAGACATTTCGTTGTGGCAGTAATGCTCAACTCTTTGAACATCTTTTGAGTTAATGGGCCAAAAAATCACTGTGATGTCAATTACTAATGACTTGTCAGCTGACAGTTCTTTTAGGTCCTCCTTTAACTTTACTGAAGGCAAAGGTTTAGAAAGCACCGGACTCAGCAGGAGAATTTGTTACGTGGTCACTATAAACAGTCACATTCTTGGCATGAATACTTATATTTTGAATTACCCCTTTGGGGTGCCAGGGGTATTTTGCACCGTGGAACAATGCACCTTAGTAAAATTTGGCATGGGTGGGTAGTTACACCTTTCTGGGAACCTGGGAAAAGATAGCCCGCAGCATGTTCCAAGTCTGATCTGTTCTCATAGGGAGACACTTGGCAAACTGAGTTGAAATTTATTCCTCTTAAACCATGTTTTTGTGTCCCTTGGAAAATCTTCGTGCCTCCTCCAGTACGAAGACCACTTGGAACTACGGTGGGCAAATACCTAACTTCTTTTACCTTCCATTTCCTCACCTTTAGAATGGGAATAAGTAAGAACTGACTTCTTTGGGTCGTTGTGCTGATCAGATGGGATCCACGACGTCCAGGCACACAGGGAGCAGCTCAGACGGTGGATGGCAGCTCTTACACTCCAGTCCCTGCCTGCTGGGACACTCGGCTTCCTAGGCACTCCTTGCCTCGGTTTCCTCATTTGTGAGCCCAAGATATCTCAGCCCAGGAATGTGGGGGTGGGAAGTGATGTGGAAGAGGTTTTGTGATTGTCACAGTACGTTTTCTGGAACAGATATGTTCTTATTTTAAAATAGTTACTGTTGAGTTCCTGCTGACCCATGAGCTGGACATTTTGCTGTGAGCTTTATGTACAGTATTCAGCCGATATTGTCTGAGGCCCTGCTGCTCATCGGGCCCTGTTTTAAGCACCTTGAATTCAATAGTGCTCAGATTCTAGGGAGAGAGGAAGATTACAATAAATAATCACATAGACATAATATTTGAGGGGTGGTAAGTGCAGTGAAGAAAAGTGAAACACGAGGGAAACGGTGCTATTTTACATATTCACGGCAGTCTCTGATAGGGTGACAACTGAGCGGAGAAGGGGGTGAGCCGTGAGACCCTTGGGGGAAAGGACCTTGTGTGTGGAGGGAACAGCGTGTCCACAGGCCCGAGGTGGGAGTGCTCAGCACGGTCAAGGAGCAGCAAGGCAGTCAGGGTGGCTGGAGGGTCTCATTCAAGCGGGGGAGTGGTGGGTGCCTGGAGAGAATGGAGCTGTGTCTGTCAGGAGGCCCCTACGGGACTCTAAGGACTGGGCTTGAAGTGAGACGGGGACCTTGGAGGGTTTTGGCAGAGGGATGACACTATCCAACCACACTAGCTGCTGTTATGACGAACAGACTGTCGGGGAGCAAAGGTGGCAGCAGATCACTGGGAGGCTGCTGCAGTAATCCAGGAGCAAGACGGTGGGCGGGGTTGGCGGGGCTGTGGGGGGGGGCGGCGGGCGTGTCTGTCTAGGTGGTGAAGCTGGAAGGTAGAGCTGGCAGGGGGCGCGGGGTGAGTTGGATGAAGATTGTGAGAGAGGAGCCAGGAGGGTGCCGAGGGTTTTGGCCTGAGCAGCTGAAAGGACGGAGGTGCCCTTCAGGGAAAGGGAGTAGACAGCAGTCACCGACGTGTCACACGTTGAGTTGGGGAAGATGAGGTGATGGGGGCATATGGTACCTCATTCAGTCCTGACGAAACCCCTGTGAGTAGTCATTATTAATCCCGTTTTATATGCAAGGAAATAGAAGCCCACAGCTCTGAAGTAAATTGCCCTAGGCCACGTGGCTGCGTTCACAGACCCTGAGATTTGGCATTCCCCGTGATCCTTTTTTCTGCATCAACACCAGTGTTGTAGTCCCGTCCAAACGACCTCCCTGTCCACCCATGAAAGCTCCCTGGAGTGATGGTGTGTGCCTGGAGAGGGCTCTAGAAGAAAGACCTGCTCCCTCCCTCCCTTCCCTTGGTGTTGGTGAGGGCCGAGGGAGAGGGAGGCTGACCGCCAGCACCTGCTCTGGGGCCTCCCTCCAGGTCATTGGCAGCCTGGAGAAGGAGGTGGTGACTTAATAGGCCCAGCAGACAAAGAGAAGAGAACTTGGACCCAGGTTTGAACAGCAACCTCTCACCAATAATGAAAGATCAGGAGCCAGGAAACTGTAGATAAAAATAGCACTTATCAGTTAATTGGAAAACAATATATTTTTGCAGCCACTGCTTCCACAAGAAAATAATTGGGTCCCAAGGCAGGGAACAACTCGTTTTCATGAATGATTATATTGATCATTGGAGCAACGTGGATACATCCCCTTTGGAAAGCAATTCAGAGGAGAAGCGTGTGGCTGGTCAGACATGCCCAGGGTGAAATCCTGAGAGGCTGCAGAAGGAGGAGGGAAGAGGCTGGAAGTTCATGAGGGAGCGGGCCCTGGCTGGGCAGGCCGGTGTGGGGCTGTTGACTGGGAGATGCAAAACAAGAGAACTCGCCTCCAACCCAAGTCCCGAGCTCTCCCGAGGGAGGAAAGAAAGTGTGTCCATTCACATATCAGTTCCTTATTCTTTTTTGTTAAAAAACCCACATTATTTACTTATTTATTTATTTTTGGCTGCATTGGGTCTTAGTTGCAGCACGCAGGCTTCTCTCTAGTTGTGGCGTGCCATGTGGGATCTTAGTTCCCTGACCAGGGATCGAACCCACATCCCCTGCACTGGAAGGCAGATTCTTAATCACTGGAGCACCAGGGAAGTCCCTCAGTTCCTTATTCTGCTTGAACCCATTGGGTGTTTTGTTTGTTTGCACTTTTCTCCTGGAGGGATTTACTGGCAGTGAGCAGCATGTTCTTATGGAAAGAGGAGCAGGCTGGGAGCCTCTCCTTTGCCACTGAGGGGAGAATGTGACCCCCAAGTATTTCCCATTCCCTTTCCTGCTTCTGGAGTCATTCAGTCATTCATTCTACGCATAGTTATCAAACACTGTCAGAACAAGAAGGGAACATTGGTTGAAGGTTCCTTGTGTGCTAAGTACTGTTCTAAGTGCTTTGCATGTATTAACACATTTACTTTTCATGGCAACCCAGAGTAGGTGTCCTCAGCTCCATTTTACAGGTGAAGAAACTAAGTCAAAGAAAGCTTAAATAACGTGACCAATATCACTCACCTGGTGAGCGACTGACAGTCACTAGACACCGGGCTAGATGCTAGAGACAAAAGGGTCCAAACTGGACACAGCTTGTGACCTTGTGGAGCTTATTTTATCTAACACGTAGTCACACAAAAGTACAAAGCACAGTGGGCACAAGGGAAGGAGAGGAAATGAAGTGGTGAGAGATGTCAGAGGCCTGATTTGGGTTTGGGGGGTGGACGAGGCTGCACCGGGAGAGGTGGCCTGCTTCCTCACCGCTTTCAGGTCCTCACTCAGAGTGACTGCTTTGGTCCCTCGTTTAAAACAATGACCCCCGTCACTCTTGATGCCCTCTCCCACTCAGCACCGCCACACATATCGTGAGCTTTTCGATGATTTTTGAGCCAGATCAAGAAGAGGATATCAAAGGTGGTCACTCTTCTGGTAGGTGCCTGCAGAGGAGCTACGGGACAGGTCTGCGTGGATCTGGGTGCCTGACTTTGAGGCAGCTGGGAACCTAAACCTTCGTTACCTCCCTGCTGAGCCTTAAGGGGACAGTGGGCTCTCGGTCAGTGCAGCTCTTGGGCAGACCCATCCCCCACCCTCCCCAGGCCCAGGGTGAGTACCACGTGATCGCTCTCGCTCACCTGTCAGTGCTCTGTTATTGGTTGGTTCCATTTGTTACTGTCTGTCTCTCAGAATTTTCCTGTGGGGCAAGACCTGTGTTTTCCTTTGGTTGCTGCAAAGCCCAGAGGAACTCGTTCAGCGGTTCATGAAGGAGTGAGCGATGGAGGGGCTTGTCAAATGGGAACAGCTGTTATTTGTCCAGCCCCTTTAAGCCAGGGGCCCACAGCTTCCCTGGGCATGTGCTCCTCCATCCCCTCGGCCTTCCTGGCAGAGGCCAAGCAGCTGTTAGTCTGTTTCTACAGATGGTCATCCAAGGCCCCGAGAAGGGAAGCTCTTCGCTGGGTTACCCAAGGAGGCTGGGGCAGAATTGAGCCTGGAATTTATCTCTGTGCCCTGGTGGTTGTCCGTAAGATCCGGCCCCCTATTCTGCAGAGGGAAAACACCAGTGTGATCATCAAGAAATAATTTTTCTTTGGCCCCAAATTGATTTGCCTACAGACGGATGCGCCATCCTTATTTTGTCTTAATCTAAATATAAATTAAGTTTCCATTCCCGGGGTACATTAAGGCAGGGGTCTAGACTTGGAGTTAGGAACCCTGAATTCCATCCAGGCTCTGCTTTTAGTTGTGGTCCTGGGCAAGTCCCTTCTTCTCTGGTCCTCAGTCTTTACCATCGTAAACAAAGAGCCCATCCCAAGCCCTGCTGCACAGCAGAACTGCCTGGGTACCTCCACCCGCCAACACCAAGATCTGACTCAGTAGGTCTCGAGGCGGATCCTGGTCCTGTGTACAGGAAGGAGGTGAGGTCTGTTCGGCCACATGGTCTTACAGGCCCCCTTACCCAACTCGGCAAACCTGGGTGACCAGGTGACAGTGGCTTGCTTTCATCGATGAGGGGTCAGGGCCTTGTGGAGAACCAGCCCTTGCCCGTTCCCTCAGCTGCGGCCTGTTTTCAAGATGGGTCTTCCGCAGAAGAGGACCCAGTGCTTTAGGGACAATAGGACAGAGTTTGGATTTAAAACGCTGGTGCTAAATATCCCATTTCAAAGCTTCACCAAAAATAAATAAATAAGGAATTCCCTGGTGGTCCAGTGGATAAGACTCCACGATCTCACTGCTGAGGGCCTAGGTTCAATCCCTGGTCAGGGAACTAAGATCCCACAAGTCGTGCGGCCCAGCCAAAAAAAAATTTTTTTAATTTTTTAATTAAAAAAATTTTTAAAAGCTTCAGCTGAGTGGATGAATTTTTTTTTTTCCCCCGCAAGTGAACCCTATCCTTAATTCCTCTTTTGTAAGCTGGAGGGAGACCTACCTGGGGGCAACTCCAGTCTCAGAGAGATTGTAGAGAAATGCCTTGTAAACGGTTTAATAATTTAGTTAGATCTCTCCATGTGGATGATGATTCTGGTGGATATTTTCCTCTCTCCTCCCTGGCTTCCCTGGGTGAGAATGAGCGCGGGCAGATTTAAACATCTAGGTTGGTCCCCCGCTGCCCCAAGCCACCCACCCACTCAGACCACACCCGAGCGGCTGCCTCCCCCTGTCGTTTAGTGTGTCCTCAGGGGAAGCAGACTCATTTCAGTATAAGCTCAAGCAAACTGTAATTAGGACAGTAAATCTGCTGTTTAACCAAAAAAAAAAAAAAAAAAAGTCCTAGGACAGGTTTCAGGGTCCTGGACATCCTTCCTTTGATGCTGAAGGAAGGATGGGAGAGACCTGGCCTTTGATTTAATTTCTCCCAGTTTGGGAACAGAGTCCAGGACATGGCAACCATGTTTACTGAAAATGCAACACGGCTTAAAATCTACTGTGAGATCGTCTGAGGCTGCAGGAATGGGGACCTGACTTCATGAAAGTCTTTTTTTTCTTTCCATGCCTTGCAGTATGACTGACCACAGCATCCGTCCTGCACCAGCACCCTCACCTCCTTTCCAGGGCATTTACCACGTCAGTGGCAGTGCACCAAGGGCTGTAGATGTGTTTTCTCAGTCAGTCTGCGCAACAGCCTTAGAGGCAGGTTCTGTCATCTGCATTTTACCCCCATTTTATGGATGAAAAAAACTGAGGTTGAGAGAGGCAAGTGACTTTCCCCGGGTTGCACAGCATGCAAGTGGAGCAACTGGATTTGAAGGGTGTGTGCTCCTAGCCTCTGTGCTGTATTGCAACTGCTCAGTCTGAGAACCGCAGATCACCACGCCAGGCTGAAGGCTACCTCCCCACCAAGCCTGTTTCCCTTCCCTCGTTCCTTCTTGGCATGATCCACACTTCTGTAAACCTCAGGCTTAGTGGCCACTCAGCCACTGCCTCTCACTGAGCTCCCCACCTGGGCTGCTTCCTAGATGAGAAGGAGGGATTATTACTCTCAGTGTACACCAGTCACCAGGCCTCCTGGTGCCGGTGCTAGGGTGTGGCAGGCAGGCCATTTCCTCCCCGTGAGCCTCAGTGTCCCAGACTAGAAAGCGGAGGCTGGGGCCATCTGGAGAGCCCCTTGGGTTCACCCCAGAGGGACAGGTGTCCCTTTCCTGTGGGAGCTTGCCCGCAGTGGGGTACGGCAGCCTCCAGAAAGCGCTCTTTGCTTAATAGCACCCGACCTTGCTCTGCCTGCTCAGCGTTTTGATTGCTAAATTTATAGTGTTAGTTTGCCTTCTTCATGAGTGTCTTTAAAAGAACACCGGAGGCCTCTCCTGAAAGAGTTTTCTGTCTCGGGTGGACCCTGAGCCTCCCGAGCACAGGGGAGGCTCTGCCTGGCCAGCTGTGTCTCCCTCCCCCGCCTTTGCCTTACTGTCCCCCAGCCATTTGGCTCCACACTGACCAGGCCTGCTCTGTGCCACAGGCAGGTCCTTCCAGCTTTCCTGTGCGGGACCATCGCAACCGGGGAGCTTGGCCTCCGGTGACCTCCCTCTTTCCTAGGAAGATGTTCCTGGTGGGCCTGACAGGGGGCATTGCCTCAGGCAAGAGCTCGGTGATCCAGGTGTTCCAGCAGCTGGGTTGTGCGGTGATTGATGTGGACGTCATCGCCCGGCATGGTGAGTTGGGGGGGCGGGTTGTACACAGCAGATGCCCTGGGCTCCCTTCCTTCCATGAGGCCTCACCTTTTTATAAGGCTCTTCAAGCCCTCGGGGGGGGGGGGGGGCCTTCCCATCAGCCCTGGTCTCCTGCCCCTTACTGCCCCACCCCCACTCTTCCCTCCAGCTCCCCTCACCCTATGACCAACACCAGGGATTCTGTGCACTCTGCTCTCCTCTCTGCTTTCCCTCCCATCATCTTGTTTTTGCTGCAACTGAAAGAAGAACCCCTGGGTTCCGCCATCATTTTGCCTCTGGTCACTCAGAGTCCCCTGGCTGGGCTGGAGGCTCCAGCGAGTGACCCAGGCTCCTCTTCATGCCACAGTCGTCCAGCCAGGGTACCCCGCCCACCGGCGCATCGTGGAGGCCTTCGGCACTGAGGTCTTGCTGGAGAATGGCGACATCGATCGAAAGGTCCTGGGGGACCTGATCTTTAACCAGCCTGACCGGCGGCACCTGCTCAACTCCATCACCCACCCCGAGATCTGCAAGAAAATGATGAAGGAGACCTTCAAGTTCTTCCTCCGGGGTAAGACCCGGGGCCTGGGACGGGGTGGGGCCCAGGCCCTTCTCCTCTGCAGAAAGGTTGGCGGGGGTGGGGGTGGGAGCGGGGGGAGGAGCTGGTTATCATCCAGGCTGTTGAGTTCACTCTGCTCATCGGCATCCTCCATGCAGCCCTGTACCAGCCCCAGAGAGAAGTGATGTCCCTCAGCTCTTAAGGGGGCTGACAGTTTAATGAGAAGAGACACTTGAGGCTTTTGAGCCATGAACCCCAGGAAGCTGATTTTTCTAATAGGGTGGGAGTCATAGTAGCTGGCGAATAATGGAGTCATAAGACCTGAGTTTAAGTCCTGGCCCTCACGGTTTCCAGCGGTGTGACTGTTGAGTGCACACACACACACACACACACCCGCGCCTGTTTCCTCCTCTGCATAGTAAGGCTGATAATGCCAACCCAGGCAAGTTCTTAGGGAGACTAAAAGTCTACGCTGTGACTGTCAAACACCACGACAATGTAAACCGTAGTCAGTCAGGTTTGGTGCTGGTTGAGCCGCCTGGGAAAGTAAGTTTGCAGAGTGTAAGGTGGGGAGGCTCCGGGATGGCCAGGGCTGGTGGGGGTGGGTTCTAAGTGGAGGATGATCCTTGGGGGCTGGGCCTCAGTGGAGAGAGCTAGCCTGGCGTGCTCAGGGACGGCCAAGTGATGCGGCAGGACTGAAGGAAGGGGAGAGTGTTTGAAAAGCTGGGGTCTGTGTCAGCCTTTCCCAAGCCGTACGCTACAGTCCAAGCACGGTTCTTCAGGATGGCGTTGGGCAGGGGTGACCTGATCTTTACTGTCCAGGATGGGGTCAGTCCCCAGGAGAAGGGGGAGAGCTGAGAGCAATGGTTTAGGATCAGGCGAGAGGCTGGCCCAGGGCCCCTACAGAGCGGCCTGTCAGCCGCTGGGCCCTGGAGCCTCCAGCCCAGGCTCCGGGTTGAAGGCCTGGCTGATTGTCTCCCGTCAGTCACGAGGCTGAGACTTTGCTTCCTGGAGGGTATGGGGGAGGCTTCTTGCTTTTCTTCGGGCTTTTGCACTGTGATCATGGCCAAATTCTCCCATGCGTCAAGTTCTCATGTACAGAGTGGGGACCCTCTCCCCACTGCTGTCCCCTCTGGCCAGTACCTCCCTCCAGAAGGAAAGGGATGACTTGACAGACATCCTTGATGTTGACCCTCCCTTCCCCGCCCCCCAGCTCTGGCCAGGCAGGAGCTGGCTCCCAGCATCCTCCCTGCTGGACCAGCTTTTGCTCCCCATCTCAGTACCTTGCCGCAGGCCTCCTCCCTCCTCCCTCAAGGGCAGTCTCAGGACTCTTGCTACCTTTGTCCTGCCTCTTGTATCTGTGCCAAGACCCCTCCCGTCACTGCCCACCCCCGCCAGGAGCGAGGCCTTCTGCCTTTCATTCCTGCCCTTTTGCGTTCGCTCCCAGGCCAGGCGTGAGTACATCTATCTGCAGGGCTTTGAGGCAGCAGTGGCTCTCCCCTTCTGAAAGGATAATGTCACCCGCTCCAAAGTTCTCCTGCTGTGTCATCCACCCAACTTCCCCTCTCCCCAGCCACCACCACTTAAATAAAAGCTAGAAAGCTCTTTTCAGCTCGATAAGGTGAAAAATGGGGACGACAGCTGTGGCTTCCACAGTCCCAGTTTTCCCCTGATGAGTATAACAAATACAACTGTCAGAGTTGGTATAATCAAACGTCAGATAAGATCACCAGCTGTTGGGAGGTCTCCGCGTAGGCAGACGGATGTCTTAATAGAGTCAGGGTGGTTTGCAGAGCTTATCAAGCAGGAGGGATGTGACAGCTGAATAGCCCTTTGCCAGCGAAGCATAGAGCTGTCCGCGAGCTCCCGAGAGGGGCCGAGGAGAAAGGGCCGAGGAAGGGACGGGAGTGGAGCAGAAAAGGGAGGTAAGAGGCCCAGTGAGGACCTGGTCTCGGCCCCTGTTCTGGGCTGGACAGGAGTTGGGGAGCCAGCACTGCCAGCCTCCTTCCTCCAGGGAGCTGTAGTAATAACAGCCAGCCATCATCTGTGGAGCAGTGAGTGAGGGTCTGGGTGAGGGGCTGCTGAGGGGTTTACAGGCATTTGCTCATGTAATCCTTACCGTCTTCCTGTGAAGCGGGCCATCTGTTCACTCATTCACACAGGTGAGGTTTGGTAAGGGGCCCAAAGGGAGACAGTGGTGGCGACAAACCAAGGCGTGTCATCTGAGCCCCTCTCATGACACACACACACACGCACGCACGCACGCACGCACGCACACACACACACACGCGCGCGCACACACGCACACGCACACGCACACACACACACACACACACACGCACCCCCGCTTCTCACTGCTCCTGGATCCCTGCCAGCTCTTCCACACTTACATAGCGGTCACATGCCTGAAGAGAACTGGGAGCCCCAGGTGTTCCTGGGCGAGTAACCCAGGGACATGCCCGCGCACAGTGGGTGAGGTTGCACCCACTTGGCCGGCCTTGGCTTGCAGTGGGAGGGCTAGTCGGTGCCTTTTACCCCACGGGAGTTACTTCTGTAGTATGAGTCATAACCACTCCCACCCCCCAGAGTCGTACCTGTAATCCTTGGCTGGGGGCGGCCTCTGACGCCGAGAAGCAGCTGCTTTCCCTCTGGGGCTGCTGCGGCCACCACCCCGTAGGAGTTTCTCGTGGAGAGTCGGCAGAGAGCGCCTTGCAGGACCTGGCTCCTGGTGGAGAACCTATCTTTTTTTTTTTCTCTTTTTTTGAGGAAAAGTGGGTGAAGTAGGGCAGAATAGGCCCACTTATTCCTGGAAACTCTCTCCAGTCTCCTACAGCTCTGGCTGTGTCACCTCCCTATTCAGGGAGGTTATTTCCCTGTTCAGAAATAACAACTCTTTGGGTTGAAGATCAAGTGAACCCAGCCCTTTGTGACTGCCCCGACCACCTTGTCAGCTCCGCCTCACTCTGCTCGAGGCCTCCACTTCCGCCAGAGCTCTTCCCCTTCCTGGAACCCTCACCTCCACCTGCTCGTTTTCAAGTATCAGAAGTCCTACCCGCTCTTCAAGGCCAATACAGATGCCATCCCTTCTGTAAGGTCTTCTTGGATCATCCACCCCAAAATGACTTTCTGCAGCTTTGTGTTCTGAATGGCATTGGAACTGGCTAGCATTCAGGTTATGCCTCTCCTCGGAAGGTCTCCCCCTCTGCCGGGCAGCTCCTGATGGTAGGGGGCGGTGGCTTGGACGCTGTTCCCACACTGAGCACATAGTCCTGTGTGTGCTTGCAGAATTGAACTTGTGGGTTTCCTGGCCTCCCCCCAGGATACCGCTACGTGATTCTGGATATCCCCCTGCTGTTTGAGACCAAGAAGCTGCTCAAGTACATGAAGCACACGGTGGTGGTATACTGGTGAGTGTGTGGCACGGCCTGGCCTGGCCGAGGCTGGAAGGGAGGACCCCTGGGGGAAGGCGTGTACCTGCAAAATGGCCCCCTGCATTTCGCCCTTTCCCCACAGGGTGGCCAGGAGGCCCAGAGGTTTTGGGGAGCAGGGCCCAGAGCCTATAGAAACTGACCTCTGTGCCTGACCCAGATGTGCCTGGGAGTAGATGTGGGGGGAGTGATGGCCCCCAGGTCTCTCTAGTGCTTGGGAAGGGCTCCCCCTGCTGGCTATTGGAGGCACTTCAGCCCAGATGCCGGGCCCTCCCCTGGGCGACCGTGTTCTTATTCATTGGTTCCCTTTTCCCTCCTGCAGCACTTCTCAACTTTGCAAACATTTATTACTTCCCTCAGTTTACCTCTCAACGTAAGGTAGTCAGGACAGGAGTTGATATTTCTGAGTTATAGAAAACTCAAGGCAGGGAGTTACAGAATTTGTCCAGGGTCACCCATCGGCAAAATCTATGAACAGAAAGTTGCCGAGAAGGAGTTGTCAGAACCCAGCTAAGGAAGGAGCTTTATTCATGTCCCCCAGGACATGAAGCAAACCAGAATCCAGGTTTGGCAAACAGAGGAGGATCAAGCTGTCAGAGAAAATGAGTCGTAGTCCCAGCGGAGTGAGAGTGCAGATGAGGCTTCAGGGTGTGTCTGCCTTCCAGAAACTTCCTGGATGCCACCCATAAGTACAGCAGACACAGAGGTGGACACTTGGCTCTGCAGGTACTTTGGGCACAGGGTTGCTCTCAAGAGACTAATGGTGGGGGAGTCTCTGAGCATACTGGAGGCGGGGCCTGGAGCGCTCAGTGCCCTAAGCATCACCCTGCCCTCTGCCCCAGCACCCCGCTGTGGGTTGGCATTTAAAGGCAGCCTGAATCTGCTGAGCCTGGTGCAGGGACTCAGGCATCCTCTTCGCTCCCCCACTGGCCCGTGTCTCGCCCTGTAATCCTGCAGCCTCTCTGGGTTCTTTGTTCTCCGTTTGTGAAGTACTGTCAACTGAGGCCAAGCCAACTCCAGGAGGACAGAGTTCTCTTTGCCTTGGAATTTTAATACAATTGAAACTTTGTACCAAGGGATTCAAAAAAAAAAGTCTTATTAGAGTGTAGGTGAGTAAACAAGACAGGGGCTGGTTGCGTCTGCAGTCACCAGGTGACTCCACGCTTTCCCTGCCACCTTCCTCATCCTATGCTTTCCTTTTGCTAAGAGCAGAGATAGCTGTGGCTCCTGGCACATAATTGCAGCTTTGTAGATTCTGCCTGCTCCCCAGGAGATCCTCCAGCCCCACTCACCAGCCAGAGCAGCCTTTCCCAGGGTCTCGGGTACCATACATGCCCCACTTTTACCACATGTGGTTGTATGGCTCTTGAGAGATGCCCAAGAGATGAATGAGTGATTATTTGCTTTTCATAAAAGGGATCCACGCTTTACAAAAATAAGGACCCCCTCATGGACTCCTTTAATTGGCATTTGAAATAATATGGGCGTTTACCAAAGTGTGATTATACCAAAATGTGATTATTCACTTTTTCAAGGAGCTTGCCAATTGTGGGATAAATGTTTGGGCAAAAGTTCCCTTACCACAAACAACGTCAGTCTTTTAACCATCTGGGACTATCCCTGAGCTCCAGGAAGGGCTGTCAGAGAGTTCTGCCTTCACACCCCAGGAGGCCCCCGGTCACGGCCTCACCGTCTGAAGGGTGTGCGCTCACTGGTGGCCCCAGGCCATCTCCATTCTCTCACCCAGACTTTCCCAGCCACAGATCTGCAGTGTCCCTGACTAGGGTTGGCTATAGTCCTTGTTCTTAGCCAGGCAGGGATTGGCCCCATGACCTTGACAGTATGCTGTCCTCCTAACAAAGGAAATCAGAAGTCCTACCTACTTTCCAAGGCTAGTGCAAATGCCATCCTTCTACAGGGTCTTCCCTGATCAGTCAGCCAGAAATGACTTCCTGCCATGTTCAGTTCTGAATGGCGTTGGGATTGGCTAGTGTTCAGTTATGTCTGTCCTTGGAAAGTCTGCCTTCACATCCCAGGAGGCCCTTGGGTCTAGGCCACAAGTAGGAGGGGACTAAACTGTAGTCATCAAATCCTCCGATCTTATAACCAGGAAAATTCAGGCCTAGTGGCAAAGCAGAGAGACCCCAGATGGCAGAAAACAGCTGCTGCAGCCCTTTCCCGCCTTGTTCCTATTGAGGGCGTAGGCATTCACAGAGATGACCCCATTCCAGAGGACAGCTGGGCAGTTCCTGTGTAGCCAAAAGCAGGACAGGGAGTTTGCCGAGGAAGGACCCAGTGGTAACGTCAGAGCGCGCGAGAGGCATCCTTTGTATTTCCTGTGGCGTTGGGAGACTGGGCGTTGCCTGGCTTACTGTGCAGTGCTCAGTCCTGTCCCAAGGACCGAGGGGATCCAGTTCTCAAGTCCTTGCTCCTCTTGGGCTCTGTGCATCCCACTTCATCGGTGGCATCAAGCCCAGTGGCCACCGTCTCAGCCCAGTCCTTTTGCTCTGAATGTGCAGGACTAGGTGTGGGGAGACAAGGAGAGGGCTCTTTGTGGTGGACCGGGAAGCTGTTTTTGAGGCCGCAGGGCCAGGCCCCCAGGGGAGCTGAAGGGAGTGTTCAGCTTGCAGACACAGGTCTTTCAGTAAAGCTTATCCATCCAGGGATGCAGGATGTAGCTGATTCCAGGTGATCAAATCCTCCCATCTTAGAACTGGGGAGTCTCGGGCCTGGTGGCAGGAAACAGCAGCTGCCCCTTTCCCTCCACATTTACACTAAGGGGCTCAGGTAGCCCACAGTGCTACCAGGGTGCTCACAAAGAGTGGGGTGTGGTGGGGGAGCCCAGGAGCTTCCAGGGCTGTCCACCCCTGTCACGCACCATTGGGAGGGAGGCCAGGACCTGCGATGTCTGAGCAGCCCTTCTGCCCGGTCCCTAGTGACCGAGACACGCAGCTGGCCCGGCTGATGCAGCGGAACAACCTGAACCGCGACGACGCAGAGGCCCGGATCAAGGCCCAGCTGCCCCTGAAGGACAAGGCCCGCATGGCCCGCCACGTTCTAGACAACTCGGGCGAGTGGAGCGTCACCAAACGCCAGGTGGTCCTCCTGCACGCCGAGCTGGAGCGCTCCCTGGAATACCTGCCACTGCGGCTCGGGGTCCTCACGGGGCTGGCCAGCATCGCCAGTCTCCTCTACCTGCTCACCCACTACCTCCTGCCTTCCCCCTAGCGGGACCCTGCAAGGCAGGAATTCCTGGGTCTCCATCTCCTCAGAGGCTGAAACCAGGTAATGAATGCATCCGGTTTCCTCCCAACCCCTCAGCACACACACTCTGGATCTGGGCTGGAGCCCTGCACTGGGCCGACCCTTCCTCGGAGCACATCCTGTCCGAGGCAGAGAAGCAGCCCTCTGTCAGCAGATGCTCCTTCCCACCTCCCCCAGTGCCCCTCCCTCTGGAACAGTGACCATCACGGGCTGTGGAAGCAACAGTGGTAGACTCTTGTAACTTTCTTGTGGGCGGGGGTGAGGAGCACCTTCAGTGGACGTCACCAGTGTTTAAAGCTGGGAGGGTCCCTGGGCTTGAACCCTTTCCTAGCACGTGCCCCGTCACGGCCAAAACCCCCTGTGTGGACCATGGGAAATCAGTTTAGACCAAGGGCTGCCTTCAAGCAGGATTCCCCTGTAGATTGAAGCCCTTGGCCAGGAGGCAGTAACAATCCCCTTGTCGTGATGCTGTAGTGAGGCAGAGGCCAGGCCTCTTCTGGGATGACCCACTGTCCCACCGTGGCATTTCCCTAGCACTCTCCGCACCCTGCTCCCCGCCTCCTACCACTCTACCTCCCTGAGCTCTTGCTAGGCTGCACGCGATGCACCAGGCTGTTTCTGGCCTCTTTGCCTTCACCTTGCTGCTCCCCAATCTGGAAAACCTTTTTTTTTTTTTCCCTACAACTGGTTACCTTCCAGCTCAGGCACCATCTGAAGCCCCAGGCTGGGTTAGGTGCTCTGGGATACCCCCTGCCCCACATTTTACCTGAATCCACAGTATAATAATCAGCCAAAAACTGGTTAGTCTCTCCTACTAGACTGTAAGCCCTTTGAGGGCAGGAACTGTGTCTTATTCATCCGTGTTCCTGGTGCAGAGCCTGACTCGCCATTGGTGCTGAATAAAGTGTGTTGATCTGAAATGCCCTGTGCTGCCATTGTTCCCCCAGCATCACCGACTGACCGAGGTTCCCAGACTTGGCTGGTACCATTGGGGTTAGACTTGGCCTCCTCCCACACTAAGACCTGTGCTCCTCACTTCCCTGGGCCCAGAAGGTACAGTTGCCTTCTGACTTCTTCTGGGGCCCCAGGAGGATTCCAGCCAGGTCCAGATGTACCTGTGTGGGAGGTGGGTGGAGGTGCTGGGGCAGCCTCACACCCACATACTCCATCTTCTTTCCCCAACCCAATTAGACCAATGTAGACATCAGCTTCCCCTTGCCAGAGCCGGCAGATCTGCTGATGTGTTGATCCTGCGGCCAGCAGCCTATTAAGACCAGAAATGAGTGTGACAAATGCGATTGCTGTGGTGGCCATACTCAGTGCCCCCTTTCCCAGAGCTGCTCATACTTCAGAGCAGCTCATTAACTCACTGCAAACCCGTGAGGGGCAAAGGGCTGGTAAGGTGGTGTCAGGCTGTGGGGTGAGGGCCAGGGCAGGATGAGAGTGGCAGAGGGCAGCCGCTTCTCCGGTTTGAGACCTGGCAAGAGCGGGTAAGGGAGGACAGGTACGGACTCCTCCCAGTGCCCTGTTACCCTAGTCACTGAGAAGACGGTGCTTCGTGAAGGCGTGGCATGCCGGATGCTGCTGGATGTCTGACACCCGGAGGTAACATAGCATGGATTATTCTGATTCCAGGCCCAGAGGGATGATCTTATTCGTGTCAGAGCCAGGCTTCAGAGCTCTGCCCGCTGTGTCCCTGGGCCTGCCTGGAAGGGGCAGCAGACCTGGCATCGCTCTGGCCCACTGGGCTTTGTCTCCTACTTACGTGACCTCTTGACTTCATGATGCTTATGTCAGAGAACAGCGAAAGCCCTTTGCAAACTATAGAGTTCCAGAGTTATTTTCCTCCCGGACCTAGTCTACTGAGTTGGATGTCAGAATGTCAGAGGATGGCCAGCCTGTTAAGGTGTGGAGAAAATGCCATCCCGTCCTCCCCTTGCCCAGGTCCTCCTACAGCTCCCACTCACCTCCTCTTGCCTCCCTCCCCACGGCCTCCCTTTCCCAGGCTTGGTGGCCCAAGACGGCCTTACAAGAATCCTACTTCCCCTGGGGCGTCGCTTCATGTCTAGGTCGCTCGGGAGCCCCTTGGATACAGCAGGAGCCAGGACCCCGGGAGCCCCGGCCCCGCGCCCGGCCGGGCGGTCTCCCCTCCGGCCGGCAGGTGGCAGCACCCACCCAGGTTGGGGTCGGGCCTCGGCGGCAGGTGCTCGCCGAGCGGTTACTAACTTTCTCCCGGTGGCGTTTCCGCCTCTCCTACGGTGCCGCGGCGCCGTCAGATCCCCCCGCCAGCCGCGGAGGCGCGGGCGCTAGGCCCCGGCCCGGGCGCTAATTAACAAGCCGTGCGGCTCGCTGCGTCCTCTGCTGGCGCCGCCGGGCGGACGGATGTGTCCCCATTCCACCCCGTACGAGGGCGACCGGCACGCTCCCCAGGCCTCCCACCATGCAACCGCGCGCTCGGGCCCTGCCCTCCGTTCACCCACTCTGGGCCTCACCGCCCCGGCGCGGAGCAGTAAAGACGCCAGCGAGGGCTGCAGGCGCACCGGCCTCCCGGCGGCGCGGGGGATGAAGGGGACAGGCGGGCCCCTAAAACCATCCCCATCCCCAGGCCCAGGCTGGCCATAGGGTACTTAGCAGAGCCTTACAGATTCCAAAGCACATCCCGCAGCTATCTCCTTGAAGTCCCTCAACTCTGAGAAGGCGTGCAGGAGCCTCAGAGGTTGAGCCGCGGGGGCCCAAGTAACGAATAGGCATAATCCCACGCTCTGGACTCCCAGTACAATGCCCCTCCCACTACCTGCACTGTCCCCATTAATGACGCCTCTGGTCTTTAGCTAGGAGTTATTGTCAACTCTTCTTCAGATGTTCAGTCTCTCTCTGTCCTTGGGAGGGTGAAGGGAGGGGCAGGGGAAGGTTTGGGACACTCCATAACAGGCCACCATGGCTAGAAATTGGATGGGAGAGGGACAGCCAGGGCTGCTGTCACAAAGGCACTCCAGGTCAGGAGGAACCAGTCCCAGGAGCAGGAGAGGCAGTAGGGTGGCAGTGATGACCCGAGGCCTCTGGGCCACATGGGGTGGCCAGGGGAGACCCCAGAGATGGCAGATGAAAAGGAGCAAAGTGCAGGAGATGCTGAGGCTCTGTGGGCTGCTCTCCTGCTCCTTCCCCGGGAAGGGGAGATGTGGCTGGTGGCTCCTCTGTCCCACCCGCAGAGCTGCGGCTGCACCCAGCTGGGGCCCAAAGAGCCTCCTCCCTTTGCTCCCCCCACTCCCCTCCCCATCGCTCAGATTCCAATACAATTTCCAGCTAACCAGCATGTCGATAGAACAAGTCGGGCAGCCGGATTGCTGGCCAATTACAGGAAATCATTCTTCTCCACAGCTCAGGGCCCAGGGAGAGGGAGGGAGGGAGGGAGGGAGGGAGGGAATGTGAGGGAGCAAGCACCCAGCTTGCAGGCTGGGAAGGGGCTCTGGCTTTTCGTGGGGCCTGCTGCAGCCCCAGGGAGGGCCTGGGGTGGGAGAGCAGGGGTAGATGGGGAGGTTTCTGGTGGTGGCCCAGCAGGGGTTCTTCCTCATCCTCAAACATGGCCCAAGCCACAAAGAGAGAGAATGGGACTGATGGCTGATGAGGAGGGCCCAGGAGGTGAGGCCTCTGCTTGGAGTAGAAGGGGGTGGAAAGGGGGGATGGTGAGACCAACCTCCCCCAGAGCCCTGTGTTTGGGAACGGGGTTGGTACCCAGGCCTCCCTGGTCCAGAGGATCCTGCAGGGCCATCTGAGTACCTGGAAGCTGGGGCCCACACGGGCAGGACCCTGCTTCCACACCCAGCCGCAGACCAAGGGAATCCTGGGGGAACAGGGAGAAGGGGCTTAAAGAGGAGGAGGGGAGGAAAGGGGCTGCAGCCTGCAGCTGCGTGGTCCAGCAGCAGCCTCACTTGGTGAAGGGGTAAGTCTGGTAGCATCCTTCCACCCCAGAAGGTGGGGCACAGATATGTGGGAGGGGACAAGGGCTTCCTCACTTACCTTCCCAGCCCCTCTGCCTTACTTCCCAGCTCTGGCCCTTAAGAAACCTTCACTCAGATGAAAAGATCCCAATCCCCACTCCCTCACTTTCCATCTATTGGAATCTACCCCCACCTTCCATTCTGACCTGGATGCCTGTTTGTCACCCCCACCCTCATCCAGAAGCCTCATCATATCTTTACCAGAACTGCCTTAACTACTTCCAGGCTGCCCCACCCAACAGACCCTGAGGTCCCGCTGCTTCCCAGCACCAATGATTAGCTCCCTTTACCAGTGCTGGAGTCTCTCCCCCAAAGTAGTGAAAGATCCTTGACAGACAGGTATTTCCACAGGGACTAACTGCACACAGTGACTTCCCTGGTGACGCAGTGGTTAAGAATCCACCTGCTAATGCAGGAGATTTTTTTTCTTTTTTTCTTTTCTTTTTTTTTTTTTTTTTGCTGATTACACCTGTTTAATTAACAATACAGCAATTTTAACAGGGTACTATGTTTATCTGGAACCCCGATATGAAGCAGCTGTGACCCAGTGATCCGTTTCCCTGCTCCAGGCTGTAGCCACCTCCCCAGGACCCCTCCCCAATTTCTCAGCATCTTGCCCTGTCTCCTTCAGACCCCCATCCTTGGAGGGGCTTGGGTTGGATTTACCCCTGGCGCTTTGGCCAACCCAAGGGTACACAGGTGGGCAGACACCAGAGAGGAGACAGACCTCTGCGCCCAGTGCCCCCAGGCACCCAGCGGCTCTCAGGAAAGAGGCTGAGCAAATGCTCTTGACTGCCAAGGTCGGCCTCAAAGTGGTGGGTGCATGGGGAGAGGGGGTCAGCGACCTGGGGCCCCTCCTTCCCCGGGATCCCTGCCCGAGGACACAGGCTTGGACGTCCGCAATGGGGCTGTCAGGCCTGGCCCTGTTTGGCACAAAGCGGGCGGCTTCGGCTCTGCGAGGCTGAGACCTAGCCGCGGCTCCAGGCTGGTGGAGCCGCTTTCGCGGGCCCTCCCTCGGGCGCTGCCTCTCGCGGGCGGCCCGCTGCCCGGTGCTCGGCGATCCGGAAGAGGGCGCCCGGCCCGCCCTCGTCCACGGTGCCCCGCGGCCGGCGCGCCGCTCTCCGCAGCCCGCAGGCTCCGCGCCATTGATCGGGCCGCGAAGACCCGGGCGCGCAGCCCCCCACCCCCTCGCTTTTCGCTTTTAATTGAAGTTTGAGCAGAGTGCGAAGCGGGCAGAGGCAGAAACCAAATATTTAGTTGCTGCAAATTGGCACCTCCAGATCAATTACCCGACCCGTGTCAGGGCCTGCGCCGCCCCCCGCGCCCCGCGGAATTTCAATGCGTTGCCCCAGCCTCGGCCGCCCGCGCCGCCCGCGCCGCCCGCGCCGCCCGCCTCCATTCCGCCGCACACTTCTCATCAGCTCCAGCCCTACATCACCCGTGGCCGCGAGGGGGACAGATTTTCAATGGGAAAAGTTCCCTGGGAGGGTCCTCGTTGCTGACTCCCGCCGCGCCCTGTGCTGTCTGCCCCCCACACGCCCGCCCCGGCCGTCATCCAGCCTGTCAGATGGGGACAGCCCGGGAGGAGCAGTGAGATAGAGGGAGCTCCAGAGCAAGGACTTCGGGTCACATGGACTTGACCCAACCCTAGTATCTCCACTTATCCTCTGGATGACCTAGGAGAAGTTGCTTATGCTCCCTGAGCCTCGGTTTCCCCATCTGTACTATGGGGCTCAACATTCACGTTGCAGGGTTATGGGGTTAACACGGCAGAGGGACCCTGCCCTGCCCTGGGCTGGCGTATCGTGGCTTTACTTCTCAGCCCTGCAAGAGGGGTAAAATAACTTCCAGAATGAAGTGAGGGACACTGGGTTTGTAAGCACTTCAGCCAAGATCCTGAAGACCAGCAAAGGGAAGGCAGG